AATAAATTTGATTGTTTAAGTCCAAACAATGAGCTCTATGGCATTCTCTCACGTCGTCTGCAGCCATTAGCTTATCTTCTTCATTCGCAATTTCAATGCTACGGAAAATGATGAAAAAACATCTTCTCCGCGACATTTGAGATTGTGAAACATAGCTTAGTCAAGAACCTACTAGTCATTTTATGAGATTCCGCATATGCTACTGATGTCATGATATTGTTATATTAGGGAAATAGCTCACTAGCGGAGAGAGTCACATAGCATATAAGCTCGGCCAACAATATCGCTTTGCTATTCGAACATATGCAGCAAACCTCGATTTCCATCAGCTTTGCGGTCAGTTCAACTTCAAATCACGCCTGTTTTGCCCCAAAAATACATTTTACTCGCTTCCATGACTTCTGCGTTAAACAGCTGTTTCTTTTCCGAGATAGTATTTTTTTTTTGATAAATAACCACAGCAAGAGGTAGTTCATTGCTCTTGCATATCTTGTACTGATTATTGATTTTGTTTCTCATCATAACCTAACATGCAGGAAAACAGCTGAGACAGCAATTCTCCAATTTCCTTTGGTAGAGTGATATGAGTGAAAAGTGACACAAACTATGTGAATCCCAAAAACTGCTGAAACGTTACAATAAGTTTTTCGTTTTCAACAGTAGCAATGTTGCCGTAGGCAGAACACGGAAGTGAATTTCATCTTACTTGCACTTTTGAAGTTCAATTAAATTGGCTCAGCTGCAACAACATCTACTAAAGTTTTGAAGTTCCTTTGACTTATGCCTAAAGTCAATAATCTTTTCAGATTTTTCTCGTCGCGTCTGCTTATGCAGGTATGATGTTTCCTTGTTCCACATGCTCAGCACCTGAGCTCTTCTTTTACAGCCATTTGTCCCGACAGCAATGGCATGGACGATGATATTCGCCAAGCATTCTTGAAAACTCACAACGATCTAAGGTGAGCGAACTCACAAGGAAATTTCTTGAAACACCAAGATTCAAACCAACAGATCGCTAGTGGCTAACGGAAAAGCCGAAGACGGTAAGGGAGGCTATGCTCCTTCGGCTGCGAAGATGTTCAAATTGGTATTACTCGCCAACGAGAGGAAAAAAGAGTTAGTAGTTAAACTTCAGAAATATGACTGCGATGTGGAAAAGCACGCCGTGAAACATGCGGCTAAATGTGTTTTCCAACACTCAAACGATAGCGACTTTGGGGAGAACATCTACATGCGCTGGCCAGCCTATGGCAAAGTTAGAGCTGCAAAGGATGTGAGATTATGCCACACTCTCGTTCTTTAGAACAAGACAAACAATTTCCATTATTTGAGGCTTCAAGATCGTGGTTTGAGGAGCTTGCGCAGAACGGAGTTGGAAAAAGCCTCAAATTTACTAAGGAACTCCTCAATCGTGGCGTTGGTCACTACACACAAGTTAGTAATCATTCCTGTTACGAGTAATTACATGGCTAGTACATTTCGCGGAGTACTCAAAGCACCGCACTTGTGCAAGCGCGATAAGTCGATGCACCTGACGTGTACTATTTTTATTCGCTACCTAAACATTCCGCAATCTCGCTGATAAGCTTGTGCCCATTTATGGTTACGGGAAATGATCGACTTACAAGGGACATGAAGTGGCCGATTACTATGAACTGTATAGCATTAGTAAGAGCTTGCAACGCTGATTTAGAATCTGCTTTCTCTATCTGCAAAGCCCTTTGGCAAAGAAGACGAGCATTTTTGAGAAGAAAAAAATAAAAGAACCGCAATAAAATCGACCGTTGTGGCCTTCTCAGACATCAAATGGAAAAATGGGAAGTACTGATATAGTGAGCAAAAGGAGTCTATTGTATGAAGCGTACTTGCCGCTGATTCTAAATTTGCTTCTATAATCTGCAGAGCGCTTCTGGAAAAAAATGATGAGCATTTTTCGCTTAGGGGTCTAAAAAGGCTGAAGCGATTGATTTCATCCCGAATATTAGTTGATATTAGGACTGCGAAAAATGCTCATCTTTCTTTTTCCAGAAGCATTCTGCAGATTATAGAAGCAGATTTAGAATCAGCTTTCTAAGATCTCACTAATGGTATGCAGTCTGTAGTAATCGGCCACTTCAAGTTCGCGATCCTCCGTTGTTAGACGAGCCATGGTTTTATAATATGAATAATTATTTCAGATGATTTGGCAGTCTACAAAAGTTATTGGTTGCGCGGTTGTAAATTGCCCCAAGATGTCGCTTGTTGTCTGCAACTACAAGAAAGCGTGAGCAAAATTGTTTTAGTAACTTTACTATCAAAACGCCTTTCCTAGAGGGAACATCCTTAACTCCAAGATCTATGAAACAGGAGCGCCATGCTCGAAGTGTCCAGGAGGATGCTCTGAAGGTTTATGCACTGTCTGAACTAAATCAGCTCTGAAGGTTTATGCATTGTCTAAATTAAATCAATTTGCAGAGTAAATATCATGCTGAATGATGTAACAAGATGTGATAGCTTCCAGATGATGATGATATATCGGGCCATAATTTCTGACCAAAGTATGCACCACTTTAAAAACTCGTGCAAACTCAACGCTTCAAGCAACACGCGGTCCATGGTAGTATTCGCAAAGAGAATTTGTGCGCTTAAAATCCAGGCCGGTAGTAATCTGGTCGAAACTCCGAGTTCAAAGCTGCGTGTTAACCCAGGGTTAACTCTGAGTTTCGTTTTGAAACTCACAAGGGAAAAATACTTGGTGTCCGTGGCCTTTTATGGTACGTATACCTTCACACTCGCTTTGGAACGCTGATTCCAAATCTGACTTCCTTTTCCGCTAATCGTTTAACGTAACAACCATGTGTGATAAGAAACACATCATGGAATCAGCTACATACCTCTATCATTTTGATAATGCTATCGAATGGCTGAGTGTTCTTTTATCCGAGTATTTCGTTCATTCGACTCGGAAGAATAAATTATCCGAACATTCGAGAAATTTTTAAAGAAAGTTATTCAACTATACTAATATTTGTAAAGTTTCGGAAATTCTTGTTCGAATATTCGGATCGACTACGATCAAATATTCGAATATTGCGTGCGACCATTCGAATATTTATTGCATTCTATATTCGATGCTATTCAGTTGTTCGTTTATTCGAATAGTCATTCGATCAAGTTTGGTCAATCGAATATTCGAAAGCTCAATTTTGGAATGTGCCCGTATTCGAATATTCGAATTCGAATAATATAAAAATCGGAAATCGAAAAATATTCATTTACTCGAAAATTATTCAAAAACCAATCATTCAATATTCATTCGTTCAAAAAATTTTCAAAGACTAATTATTCGTTGTTCGTTCATTCGATGAAAAGTTCCGTTCGTCACAACTATATCACAAACTGGCAAAAAGCATAGTTCATGGTTTGGTTTTGGTAAAAGAATCTCTTGCGAAAATCTGTTACATTCACATTTCTGGAGAAGAAGGTGGTTGGGGCTATGTATCAGTTTCTCAATACTGGTAGTTGTATGGTTGAAAAGGTCACGCGAAAATGATAATGAAATTCAAGTAGGCAGAGCCTATTGCCTACTAGCCTACTAGCCATTTGTGCCATCAAGGGTCCTTCTATGAGACCACTTAGGGTGCACGTGTTTTTGGATAATAAAGATGAGACTGGCTTTGATTTCACAGCGCACGCAGCTGCTAAGAGGTTCAAGGTGGGATACGGCACTGATGGCTTGTTGATAAAAACCATGAGTTGCTTTTTATGCAAAATGATTAGCATATTCATAATCAGCATGGCAAATAACCCCACCACACAAGGTTTCAACGAATCTTGTGATTTTCTCCCAGCTAGCGTGTCCTTACCGTAACCTGCTATGTGGCAAATAACAAAAATGAACATCATATTCGTAATCAGCATGCGAAATAACCCCACTGTACCAAGTTTCGACAAAATTCGTGATTTTCGCCCAAATACCGTATCCCTACCGTAACCTCGTTATGTGGGCGAATGGCAAAAAATGACATGATACTCGTGATCGGAGTGCCAAATAACCCCTATGTACCGAGTTTCAGACAATCTCATGATTTTCGTACTGCATACTGTACTCATGGCGGCAGAATGGCAATATTGTTAGGGTGCTTCGTAGCCTAGGGGTCTAGTTGTAGACTTTGGCGCTGAGCAACGAAAATTCAACTCCCGTCCTAGTCGCGGTGTTTTGCGATGAAGCGTGTAGTAGCTCCTCAGCAGCCATGGCTGCTCCGCAAGTAGCACTACAAAACTTCGAGTTTCAGAAGCGAAACTCTGAGTTAACTCTGACGAGGAAACGATCCTTGGTGTCCGTGGTCTTTTTAGATGAGATGCATACCATTACGCTCATCTTGGAGCGCTAATCCCGAATCTGACTTCCGTTTCTGCTGATCAATCTCTAAAAGAAGTTATGAAGGATTTTTGCGTCGAAGGAGACATGTTTGGAACGCAAAACCGCCGCTAAGATGTGGTGTAGTGGCTAGTGCGATAGCCTTGCAAGTTAATATAGGCTTAGGTTCGAGTCCTTTTGTATTTTCAGTTTTGCATTGCCTCGATCAAGCTTCTTTTTGAAAGTTAGGCTTCCTCAGCCGCATTTCTCTTAAGCGACCATTGACGCGAAAATCCTTCATAACTTCTTTCAGAAAAACGATGAAAAGGAAGTCAGATTTGGAATCAGCGTTCCAAAGCGAGTGTGAAGGTATACGTACCATAAAAGGCCACGGACACCAAGTATCCTTCCCTTGTGAGTTTCAAAACGAAACTCAGAGTTAACCCTGGGTTAACACGCAGCTTTGAACTCGGAGTTTCGACCAGATTACTACCGGCCTGGATTTTAAGCGCACAAATTCTCTTTGCGAATACTACCATGGACCGCGTGTTGCTTGAAGCGTTGAGTTTGCACGAGTTTTTAAAGTGGTGCATACTTTGGTCAGAAATTATGGCCCGATATATCATCATCATCTGGAAGCTATCACATCTTGTTACATCATTCAGCATGATATTTACTCTGCAAATTAATTTAATTCAGACAATGCATAAACCTTCAGAGCTGATTTAGTTCAGACAGTGCATAAACCTTCAGAGCATCCTCCTGGACACTTCGAGCATGGCGCTCCTGTTTCATAGATCTTGGAGTTAAGGATGTTCCCTCTAGGAAAGGCGTTTTGATAGTAAAGTTACTAAAACAATTTTACTCACGCTTTCTTGTAGTTGCAGACAACAAGCGACATCTTGGGGCAATTTACAACCGCGCAACCAATAACTTTTGTAGACTGCCAAATCATCTGAAATAATTATTCATATTATAAAACCATGGCTCGTCTAACAACGGAGGATCGCGAACTTGAAGTGGCCGATTACTACAGACTGCATACCATTAGTGAGATCTTAGAAAGCTGATTCTAAATCTGCTTCTATAATCTGCAGAATGCTTCTGGAAAAAGAAAGATGAGCATTTTTCGCAGTCCTAATATCAACTAATATTCGGGATGAAATCAATCGCTTCAGCCTTTTTAGACCCCTAAGCGAAAAATGCTCATCATTTTTTTCCAGAAGCGCTCTGCAGATTATAGAAGCAAATTTAGAATCAGCGGCAAGTACGCTTCATACAATAGACTCCTTTTGCTCACTATATCAGTACTTCCCATTTTTCCATTTGATGTCTGAGAAGGCCACAACGGTCGATTTTATTGCGGTTCTTTTATTTTTTTCTTCTCAAAAATGCTCGTCTTCTTTGCCAAAGGGCTTTGCAGATAGAGAAAGCAGATTCTAAATCAGCGTTGCAAGCTCTTACTAATGCTATACAGTTCATAGTAATCGGCCACTTCATGTCCCTTGTAAGTCGATCATTTCCCGTAACCATAAATGGGCACAAGCTTATCAGCGAGATTGCGGAATGTTTAGGTAGCGAATAAAAATAGTACACGTCAGGTGCATCGACTTATCGCGCTTGCACAAGTGCGGTGCTTTGAGTACTCCGCGAAATGTACTAGCCATGTAATTACTCGTAACAGGAATGATTACTAACTTGTGTGTAGTGACCAACGCCACGATTGAGGAGTTCCTTAGTAAATTTGAGGCTTTTTCCAACTCCGTTCTGCGCAAGCTCCTCAAACCACGATCTTGAAGCCTCAAATAATGGAAATTGTTTGTCTTGTTCTAAAGAACGAGAGTGTGGCATAATCTCACATCCTTTGCAGCTCTAACTTTGCCATAGGCTGGCCAGCGCATGTAGATGTTCTCCCCAAAGTCGCTATCGTTTGAGTGTTGGAAAACACATTTAGCCGCATGTTTCACGGCGTGCTTTTCCACATCGCAGTCATATTTCTGAAGTTTAACTACTAACTCTTTTTTCCTCTCGTTGGCGAGTAATACCAATTTGAACATCTTCGCAGCCGAAGGAGCATAGCCTCCCTTACCGTCTTTGGCTTTTCCGTTAGCCACTAGCGATCTGTTGGTTTGAATCTTGGTGTTTCAAGAAATTTCCTTGTGAGTTCGCTCACCTTAGATCGTTGTGAATTTTCAAGAATGCTTGGCGAATATCATCGTCCATGCCATTGCTGTCGGGACAAATGGCTGTAAAAGAAGAGCTCAGGTGCTGAGCATGTGGAACAAGGAAACATCATACCTGCATAAGCAGACGCGACGAGAAAAATCTGAAAAGATTATTGACTTTAGGCATAAGTCAAAGGAACTTCAAAACTTTAGTAGATGTTGTTGCAGCTGAGCCAATTTAATTGAACTTCAAAAGTGCAAGTAAGATGAAATTCACTTCCGTGTTCTGCCTACGGCAACATTGCTACTGTTGAAAACGAAAAACTTATTGTAACGTTTCAGCAGTTTTTGGGATTCACATAGTTTGTGTCACTTTTCACTCATATCACTCTACCAAAGGAAATTGGAGAATTGCTGTCTCAGCTGTTTTCCTGCATGTTAGGTTATGATGAGAAACAAAATCAATAATCAGTACAAGATATGCAAGAGCAATGAACTACCTCTTGCTGTGGTTATCTATCAAAAAAAATACTATCTCGGAAAAGAAACAGCTGTTTAACGCAGAAGTCATGGAAGCGAGTAAAATGTATTTTTGGGGCAAAACAGGCGTGATTTGAAGTTGAACTGACCGCAAAGCTAATGGAAATCGAGGTTTGCTGCATATGTTCGAATAGCAAAGCGATATTGTTGACCGAGCTTATATGCTATGTGACTCTCTCCGCTAGTGAGCTATTTCCCTAATATAACAATATCATGACATCAGTAGCATATGCGGAATCTCATAAAATGACTAGTAGGTTCTTGACTAAGCTATGTTTCACAATCTCAAATGTCGCGGAGAAGATGTTTTTTCATCATTTTCTAAGCTAATAGCTGCAGACGACGTGAGAGAATGCCATAGAGCTCATTGTTTGGACTTAAACAATCAAATTTATTATTTGAATGTGGTCCGTGCAAGAAGTTTGAGATTCAAACTTTTTTGAGCCTGGGCCTATTTGCTGTGTTGAATGCGAAAATCAACACTGGAGAGAGTGAAAACGGCGAAAAATGCTTTAACGCAGGAAAGAATTCAGCAGGTGGGCAGAGTCTTTCATTCTGTAAAGTCATCCTTCCAACTTCCGAAGTGATCGTATCGTTCGACTTTCCGTCCGCGCTTGGTCGCTGGCGATGTTAGGGCAGCTAAAGAAGGAGAGAAGATCGCTTTGGAAGGGAAGTTGGGAAAGTGACTTCACAGAATAGGAGACTCCCCTTACCTGCTAATTTCTTTACTGTGTTAAAGTCCTTTTTCCTTAGAGTGGATTTTTGCATTCAGCATAGCGAATGGAACTAAGTAAGCAAATCTTAAAGTCAACTTCTTGCGCAGATGCTGCCTATAAACATTCAAGATTACGAACCGGGGAACCGCATAGAACTGAGCGCGACCAAAGAACTCTATAAAGCTTTACGTATTGCCTGAGAGTATCGTGCAGCATAAGTTTCATTTTTTGAAGCAGATCGAGGCGACTGAGCGGCTCGCTTGCAAAATCGAATAAGGTACGCTTTATATTCGTAAAATAGGGTAAAATAAGGGAAGGATACTTGGTCGGTTCTTTATGAGATGTATGCTGTGTTTTAGAGCATGGAACCCTGATTCCAAATCTGCTTTCGGTATCTGCAAAGCGCTTTTTTATGGGAGTTATAAGAGTTTTTTAGGCAGAAATTCAAGGTCTTGGTTAAGGCAAAAACGAGTTTTGAGAGTCTTTCTGTCGCTTGATTGGAGTAGCGATTGACTCAAATTTATTAGAATGAAGGTATTAATTGCACAAAGTGCCCTGGCAATAATCATGGTTCCCTCCAAGCTCACAGATTGCAGCTCTAAATGATTTTATTGTAGCTGCGTCTCAAATTTTTGCGTCGAAAGATTTCCATGACACCCCTTCTAGAAGCGCCTTGCAGATGCCGAAAGCAGATTTGGAATCAGCGTTCAATGCTCTATAAGACAGTATACATTTCCTCTGGAAACACCACTTTGGCCAAGTATCCTTCCCTTTTCAGAGCACTACAGATTTCTGCTAGCGCCAAATTGATAACGTGCGTCTCATGTGAAGTGCGTTTTATTTATACCTGTAAATAATCATTGTCAATGGCAAGGATTGATCTACCTCAGATGCTTTGGCAAACTACTTTTATTGGTTGCGCTGTCGAGAATTGCCCCGGGATGGCGCTTGCCTTCTGCAGTTATAAGAAATCGCGAGCGAAGTGGCGAAGAACATCATCAACGAAAGACCTAGAGGAAACTTGTTAAGCTCCTGGATGTGTGCAACAGGCCAGCATTATTTATTTGTATTACATTTCCTTGTATTGTATTAGAACAACTTGCAGGATAGATACACAGAAGAGAGCAACAAGATTCTCATAACACCACTATTTAGCGGCTTACTTCAGAACTCTGCCTCCGAAATAATCAACCATCTTTTTTGCAATAATGATTCAAAAACTGCACCTTGGTTTCTCCCGTTTTCGTTAGATACATGAAACCTTTGTATACAAATAATTCAGAGATATTTTGCTCCTGTCGGAGCGATTTTTCCTGGCAGACATGACGCAATCATTTTCAGGCGGTGCAAAAAAACGCTTTGTTCGTTTGGTAGAATGAGGCAATTTTTGAACACGCAGGTGTAAGAAATGGTAGCTCTTCAGATCTTCCCCTTCGCCCTTGTAGCGCAGCATGGTTTTTGACAAGCCTCATTGGCAGAGAATCGTACCTCTGTGGAATTATAATACCGCTCGTAATTTGTGAAAAAATTGGCGACCGCCGCTTAACTCGGCAATTTTCATAGGCTGGAGCCTGAGTCAAGCACCATTCGATAGCACAGTTCCTAGTAACTTTGACATTTAAAAGCAAGCAGGCAAGTTTTCTGACAGATACGCGAGAAGTGCGGGCAAAGTTACGCACTTTCGTAATGCAGTTACAGTCACATCACCATATTTCTGCAAAAAGACCCTATACTCCTCGAAAACTACGATTTTCGTAAAGAGCGTATCCGAAAACCTCTGTAAGCGAAGTTTCCTTGCAATTCGAGATCATCGACATCTTCATCAAAATCCACCGGCGAGCTTCAGAGGCGAAAAACTTGCTCGTAAAAGTCATCCGCCCGCTGATTACGAAAGTCACATCTGCTTAGCAAGAGAGCATCATATTATAGAGTTATGGTGAGAAAAATTTAAAAAGACGTGATCTTTTCAAAATCCAACAGCCCTTCTACTTCCTTTGGAAAGAAGTGTACGGCTACTCCCTAGCGCCCCATAATTTACAGAAGAAGTGCTATCGAAAAATTCTCTGGAATCTACTGGGGGCATACGCGCTGCTTTACACCTTTGCGAAGAGACGTCCGCAGAAAGTTTCAAGGTACTGAAATCGTAATATCAAGGACATTCTGTTTATCGAAAGATTCGCCTTAATGAAAATGCTTCTTTCAGATTCAAAAAATATTCACTCCAAAGAAAGTTACGATAAGAAAAATTTGGAAACGCGTGATTTTCCCAGAATTCACCAACGCTTTTCTCTCTTTTGGAAAGAAGTCTGCGGCTACTTGCTAGCGCACTATAATCTACAAGAGCAGCACTATCGAATGGTACTTACTGTATCTTTGTTGGATAGGCGCTGCGTTACATCCTTGCGAAAGGACCTCCATAGAATTTGTGAAGACTGGAAAGGAGATGTAGAGGGACATGATGTACGTCACAAGATTTGTCTTGACGAGCTGAACACAATGCTGCTTTCGGATTTAGAACATATTCATTCCAAAGGATGTTATGGCGCTGCGTAATTTGCGACATTCCTAGAATTTCGCGATATTTCCGAAATTTCGCGAAATTCCCGTTCTATGGGTGGTGTTGTACATTGCACAGTACGCGCGGTATTCCACGATATGTGCTTCGTATGCGATTTTCAGCCATTCCCCTTTGTCTTCCTGCATTTTGAGATTCGTCATACTTCGCCGAGAAGAGCCCAATTTCACAATATCCGTGCAAAATGAGCTCTTAAACTATACCTACCGTATTTTTGCGGTGCGCAACAGAATGTGGTTTCTGGAATCAGCACACTGAATAATCCATTTACACTAAAGTTCTAAGAAAAAAACCTACATCCCACGACTAGGCACCTCCATATGCAAGATGCGCCTCGCCGAGCTGATAAGGGAACCGTGTCGAGTCGAAGTGGCCTTTCCAGATAAGACCCATACTGCTTTGAAGAGCAATAATCGGTGATTCCAAATCTGCTTTCCAAATCTGCCAAGCGCCTCTGGACGCCGAGTTATGCTCGTTTTTCAGGTCAAAAAATTGAACGCAAAACTGAAGCAAAATTGCCCAAATTTGCTCAAATGGTCCAATGTCAAGTATTAGAGCTGTTTATGCAATGGATACATTTTATTTATTATGCTAATACTTAACATTGCTTTATCTGAGCCCTGGAAAGATCGTAACAATCAATTTTACTTAAATTCTGCATTCATTTTTCGTACCGAAGAACGATCATAACTCGGCGTCCAGAGGCGCTTGGCAGATTTGCAAGGCAGATTTGGAATCATCGCTTAATACTCTTCAGAGCAGTATGGGTCTCATCTGGAAAGGCCACTTCGACTCGAGACGGTTCCCTTGTGAGTTGAATGGTACTTTTGAATATGAATTTATAAACTTTGAGTCAAGATAAGGCCTTTCGACGATTTCTAAAAAAGTTAGGCGGCGACCGTCGAAGTTAGGCGCCCGCCGCCTAACTTTGTCGCGTGACGCGGTGCTTGCCGCCTAAGGGATCGTTCAGACCGCGCACAAAGGCGGACGAAGGCGCACGAAGGCGCGTCTTGTCTCGTCTCGTTTCTCTCGACACACACACACACACACACACACACACACACACACACACACACACACACACACACACACACACACACACACACACACACACACACACACACACACACACACACACACACACACACACACACACACACACACACACACACACACACACACACACACACACACACGTCTCGTCTCGTTTCTCTCGGCAATACATCAAACATGCCTTCGTGCGCCTTCGTCCGCTTTTTTGCGGCTTCGTCCGCCTTCGTCCGCCTTTGTGCGCGGTATGAACGATCCCCAACTGCGGCCGCCGCCGCTTAACTTCGGTGGCCGCCGCCTGAGTTAAGCGGCCGTCGCCAATTTTTTCACAAATTACGAGCAGTATTGTAGAGAATATTGCGGTACGAATATCCTTTGTAGACACAATGCTAGGGTTTTCCTTGAGCTCTGGATGTCTTTACGGTCTATCAGCGGCGCTAAGCAGGAAAATTTCGGTGTCATTTCCAGTGGGCGGATGTTCTGGATGCTGATGAGCGGGATGTTAATAAAAGTTCGTGATATATCGCGCCGGGAGGAACAAAATCTTTGTTTATCTGAAGCAGTCCCCGGTAAATATCAGCCTTTTGAAGTCTGTTTCTCTTGAGCTCCGTTGTCACACTAAAGCAGTAAATTTATCGCGCATATAACTGTTGAAGAAACAGTGTGTTTTGGTACCGCCCGGAACAAGCCTATTTGAGAGTGGTTGGAACCAGAAAGAAGCAAAAGAAGTAGCATGAACAATTTATAGGTATTTCGGTGCTGATTTGACAAAAATATGCATAGGTG